CCTCAGGGAGTCTTGAGCCGCTACATAAATTTTTGAGATGCATGTTTATAAGGATTCCAAACCCTGCCATCTTGAATGTACCCGGTTTTGGTTGGTCGGGTCCACTCTGGCTGTGTTTTCTGTTCTGCGAATTCACTTGTAACACAAGTAAGTTCGTCTCAGAGGCCACAGTTTTATAGGATCTCAGAATGCATACAGTGAAGGAATGGAAGTCACCGCTGATCCTCAATCCAGTTTCTATCGCTACCAGTGCTGGATAGTTGCAAAGAAGTTGAATGACGTTGCTGCGGTGGACGTAGTTTTCACTTAAATTTTCTCTCTATACTGCTATAATAATATGAGCACGCATTTCTCAGTCTAGGTGCCTATTTTTCCCTTCTGTTTGCTTGAAACAATCTAAAAACATACCCCTTCGTAAGGGAAATTGTCCGCGTACGACAACTGCCTGGTTGTACCACAACTTTATTTAAAAGAAGTGAATTTTTTTTGAATCTGTTTATCACAGTTTTTAAAAGATACCTAATCTTTAATACAACAAGGCCTCCTTATTCAATTACTACTCGGCAGTGAAATTTATGAGAGATGGAAAAATCACGATATTACATTCGTATTGATGAGCTTATTATATAAACTGTTATGAGATACATGGGCACCCAATTTTTAAGTATAATTAATGCACTTTTCTTTAGTTTAATTCCCTAACCTACCGTTTGTGTGGCAAAAAATGATCCTTTTTTCTGTTGATAAATACCGAAACGATGCACGTTTTGCCAAATTTTAGAATTAAGGTTTTAAGCTATGTGTAAATAAAGGAATTGTTAATCATTTAACTTCGTGTTTGCGTATTATAGCAAACTTGGGTAAACAGAGACAAATACAAAATGTACAGTGGTTCTTGTTTCAAGGTCATGATTGAGGAGCAGCCTGCGCCATTCAAATCGGACTTGGATCATCTGATTTTCGGGATATGTATTCCACCGTACGTTTGATCGGAGAAAGTGATGACGGCAAATGTGGGTATTGTGGGGACTCCGAATCTAGTAAATCAACTTGGTGTAAGTACATTATATTTTCAGTCTCAGATACCATTACCGATGTACTTACTGCACAGGACTACAAAATCCTGATGGACAGTGGCTGGCGTCGGTACCGTCAGCACTTTCTTTCTTAGCTTATATGTTTAGTTGTGGCAGACTTACTTATAAGCCAAACAATCGTAAAACATGTTGTCCTGCGTACACAATTCGATGCGATGCAGTGAATTTCCGAATTTCCAAAGCGCAGAAGAAGGTTCTGCGAGTTGTTAACACTTATTTGAATGCTGGAGAAAGTGTTAAAGCTGATGCACAGCGCTCTGCTACAGCTGACTGTCGTGGAGACCGCCCAATTGAACTGGATTCTCTTCTGTGTAGTTCACAAAATATTAGTTTGCATGCCTCTGGAGATTCAGGATTTCCTTCTGGACGTAAAGCAGATCCTGCCAGCACGGGC